CAAACGGGATAGATTATTTACATAAACACTTTATTTGCTTTGACTCATGCATTTTCCTCTTTAAAATGCGCATAAGCAGCCGAAAAAATACACGAAATTTTTGCGAATTAACTCGGATCCGGTAAAAATTAACTGGTAAAAACGGCCAGCTGTTGTCTTTTGTACAAGTAAGCAAACAAAGCAGGCGGGTTTCGCGCCCGCGGTAGCCGGGTGGTGAGAGTTGTGGGCTACAAGCCAGTAGCTCCCAGGTTCGATCCTCGGTTGGAGCGATTGCGATTTTTTTTTAATTATTTATTTTGTATTTTTTTATTTTATTTGATTTATAAATTTAATTTTACTTTATTTTATTTTCATTTGCTTTATTTTATATCACATTTTTTTATTTTACTATTAGTTAATTTAAATTTTTAGGGTTGAATTTGATTAAAAAGTCAACAACTAACTGAAAGCAACGTAAAAAAAAATTTTGAACTTTTACAAAAAAGAATGAAAACGAAATAAATGAAAATACTAGCCCTGGGACTAGGGACACGATATCGAACCGAAAGTATCGATATGGTACTCATTTAAAGTATCGCTATAAAAATATCGGGTACCCATTAATATCGGAATAAAAAGACTCGATATTCCAAATATCGATACCAAAAACCAAACAATTTATCTGATAGCGTTTTCTTTTCTCTGCCTTGTGTTAGCGCTGTCACATTTTCATGTTCTTTTCTCAGCCCTTTCACAAGGTGTCGTGTTCTTTTCTCAGCAGGTTGCGCTCTGATCCGGCGAAAGTGCTGCCTTTTCTGCCCTCAAATAAACGCGAGTGTGAGAGTTGCACGGTTCATTTTTAATTTACGCTTGTAAAATTACAATTATTTTCCGTATCAGAAATAAGTATTTGCTTTAAAACTACTAAAGACTTACAGGCCATGTGAATAATTCAGCTTTATTAAGTTCTATAAATAAATTGTGATGGAGTAGTATATTTGCTGTTTCATTCTCATATAAAGAACGCAACATTTTCTCAGGTTTCAGGGCAACGCAAAGCAAGAGTTCCCATATAAAAGGGCAGAACTTTTTTTGAGAAAAGAAAACGCTAGGAATATAGGTCTCGCATTAGAGATGGGCACGGGCCCGCGAGTACGGGCCGGAATATTTGCTGTCAGCACGAACTCATGCGGGCCTGGGCGTTCAGTAAAATTTCATAACAGCACGAAAAAGCCCGTTGCTAATACTAAAAATTTAGATGAGCTTTTGTTTTTATACAAAAAAAAAAAAAGTACATATTTAAAACTCTTTTGATAAGAGAAAAGCAAAAAAAGAAATATTTGGAAACCGATAGAAAATATATGATACTTAGTAGTTTTGTTTACATACATATCTGTATATAAAATACCTTCCACTTTTTCTACTTCCTAGAAAATATATTATAAAAATCTTTGATGTGAAATATTGATTCGCTTAAGTAAATATACATATGGACATAAACACAAAATTAAAAATATGTACATACGTATACATACAATAAAAGTTGGCCCTTTATTTCCGGGCTGGGGCGTGTCCCGTCGTGCCGGGCCGGGCCTGAAAATTTAGGCCCGTGCCCATCTCTATCTCGCATATAGGCCGCTGGGGTGTAGTGGTTAGAGGTGCGCAAACCTTGAAAATGAAAAGCAGCTTCCCATAAAGTACAATCGCCGTTCAGAGTCGACATAAAACTGTAGGCACCTCCTTTGTGCCACAACATTAAGGCCCACGCGACAAATCGGAGAAGAAGTTCGGCCAAACACTAACATATTGTGTAAGCGCCGGACTTTATTATTATTACAACACGTAGAGATTGAGGTGTTGACTTAAACACCGAGGCCGCGGGTTCAAATCTCACCACATGCAATCCTAACCATAGTACAAATTTCTGCACTTTAAAGCCCAATTTATATCGGGAAGAATTGTTACAGGCCAACCTTATATGCGTGCGTAAAAAGCTAACTCAAATTCCAAGATTTGTCTTGCGTGATATTTCGATTTGATGTTTATGCTCAATTGGCATTTTGGCGCGAATATGAATTAAAATTTTTCTCGGCAAACTTCTGTAATTTTGACAGAAATGCAACTCTGAGAAATCACGCACGCAAATTGAGTTGGGATTATCAAATGAGAAAAACTTGCGTGCGTGCGTAGAAAAACTCTCGCCGGTAATATTAGGTTGTGCTTTTAATACCATTATCCTTCACTGAGAAAAAAAAAGCGCGTTGGAAGAATAACAACTTTTTATTTGATTACCGTGTGAAAATGTTCGTATTTAAATCAAGTGAAAGGTCTTAACAAAATGGATTTTTCCATTATACATACACTACGTGCATATTTCACTACACGGATGGCGTTTTGCACGTCTCGGATGCTTTTTCATATGTAATTTAGAAAGTATATGTATACAAAGCATGCACAGCGGTGACAACACATACATATGTCTATGGTATGACATAATGCACTAATCGCGCGCTGTGATGTTGATTCAAACTCAACATTTGAAAACACCTTTACATGTATGGCTGTAGCTGAGTGTGCAAAGACGCTTGATACAATTGGTTGCGGCCAAGAGGGTCCGGGTTCAATTACCATCAGACGGAAAACAAAATTAATTTTTTTGTCTTCTTAATTACGAAAAAGCATCAGCGCACTTCACAACCACATATTTTATAACGTATATACTCAAATTTAAAACGAGTTGGGTTGGTGCTCTTTCATATGCGTATTTTTTCAATTTAGCACGTTTTTTTTAATTCTAAAATTTTTTTCCCTTAGTGTTGGAATGTGAGTTTATTAGCGTTTTCTTTTCTCGAAAAAAGGCTGCACCTTTTCTGCCTTGAGTTAGCGCTGTCAAATTTTCATGTTCTTTTCTCAGTCCTTTCACAAGGCGTCGTGTTCTTTTCTCAGCAGGTTGCGCTCTGATCCGGCAAAAGTGCTGCCTTGTCAGCCCTCAAATAAACGTGAGTGTGAGAGTTGCACGGTTGATTTTTAATTTACGCTTGTAAAATTACAATTATTTTCCGTATCAGAAATAAGTATTTGCTTTAAAACTACTAAAGACTTACAGGCCATGTGAATAATTCAGCTTTATTAAGTTCTATAAATAAATTGTGATGGAGTAGTATAATTTCTGTTTCATTCTCATATAAACATGACATTTTCTGAGGTTTCAGGGCAACGCAAAGTAAGAGTTCCCACATAAAAGCAGCACTTTTTTTGAGAAAAGAAAACGCTATATGACATTCGATACGATACTAGGGTTCTGGTACTCGATTCCAAAAAATATCGTTTTAAAACTATCGAGTAGAAAATATCGGTATCGAATGCCGAAAGTATCGATTTGGTATCGTATCGTATCGAAGTTCGTGTCCCTACCTGGGACTCGAACCCACGTCCTTGCGGCTCGTTTATCCGTATTAATGCCGTCTGTAAAATTATTATGCGCATATGTGTGCCAGAATATATGCATAAGCTTTGCCGCCTGTCACATTAGAATGTGTATGGGGTGTGAGAAATTCACTTTGTATGGGAGGTGCCACGCCCCGTTTTTCAATAACTCCCAGTTTTTCCATGAGTTTGGCGTTGATATTATATATCTCTATACTAAGTTGCAGCACTCTAGGATGAATACTTCCAGAGATATGTTGTGTGAAAAGTTCAGTTTGTATGGGAGGTGCCACGCCCCCTTGATATATCGAAATTATTTTTCTTCTATTATCATCCCTGGATAGTCTGGAGTAAATGTCCAAGATTTCAAAAATATAGGTACAGCTGTTCTCGAGGTTTTCGAACAGAAAAAACGAAAAAAACGGCTTTCAAAATATATATTAGTATAGAAAACAAATGAAATGCATCTCTTAATTAAATCTATCCTATGGAAAAATGTTTATAATATAATAATAATAACTTTTGAAATAATTGCAAACGTAAAAATTTGTTTTCTTCCATTTCTCAACATAAATAAATAAAAAACTAGAGATTTTTAAAAAAATCGCCACAGAAAGATCGACGCGAAATTTAATTATCTTTTTTTTGAAAAAAAAAAACTTCAAATCGGTTCATATTTGGGCTCTCAAAATTCACTTGTGACCAGCAACCTTTTTTGCCCCACTGTGCGTCGGTGAGTAGCGCTCTGCTGGCTCTGGTGAACGTCGCTATGCCGGCGGCGGTAGGTAGCGCTCTTATTGGCACTCTTGGCGTCGCTCTGCTGACGGTGGGTGTCGCCACCAAATTTCTGTTGGGGTATTTAATAGACTTTGTTTGCATGAAAAATTTTATTGTAGGGATGCCGATTCAAATTAATTAGAATCAATGTGTCTTGCTCGACGGTCGAATTTATTCTGTTTTCTATAAATTCAAATATTTTCGTACAAGCGACGTTAAGATTCTTGTACTCGTGTGTCCAGCATTGCTGTTTCGCTTAGTAAGCAAAATTTTATAATTTTTCCTGACTGTTTAAATCTTATATTTTTCTTCGTTTTGCTTAATTTTTCTATCAAACAAAAGCAAAAAGAAGAAATGAAGTTTCATGAACTATGTGGCAGTTTGAATCTACATTGTAGTCTCTTATGATCTTGTAAACTAAAGGAACATAAAGAACTTTCCATTCCGACCGCTTAACACCTGAAACAACGAAATTTGATTTCCCGTTTTAGTGTGTCTTGTTTGAGCGCATGGCGCATGGTTCCCACCAAAAAGCTGTCTACTCTTCAAACCCCACCCGATTTCGATTATTCTCTTTTTTCAAAAGGCTCGTTAGATAATAATTTTACTGTTAGGAGATGCTGTCGCTTTTTTGAATAGTCTTAAAAAAATATAACAAATTCAGTCCAAACTAAAGGTCTAAAGGTCGATTCCTGGTACCAGCAATGGCAAACTACCGAATGTAATTCTGGCATGATTGAAAGTGCTGCCACATATTTTGTTAGTACACATATGCTCTCTCGCTTATGATTGTCATTGTGCCGTGATTTCGTTTCCATTTTTGTAAAGTTGCTAACAAAACTTACGATTGCTATGAATTTTGACCTCCTTTTTTTAAGATTTTCAGATTTGGTGTCTTCAAATCATAAACAAAAGCACCAAGCACTAAACTAAACAATTGTCGCGTTTTGAATAAAGAAAAACACTAAATTTAGTGCAAAAAGAACATGTTGGCAACAGTGGCTGTGGCGAAAGTTGATCGTAGCCGAACTTGGTGGTCCCTACTTCTGAGTGGCGATGTGTTGTGCTGTAATTGGCCAACTCACAAGCAATCCCTCCATTCAGTCGTAACTCTCACTTCGGTCTATGGCTCTTACCTCTCAGTGGCGATGTCTCGTGGTGTAGTTATCCAACTCACGAGCAATCACTCCCTTCAGCTGTAGCTGTTCAGCCGCGACCACAGGTCCGTCCTGACCAGCGTTGCTGCTTTGGTATTTTTTACCAAAATTGGTATTTTTTTTATTTTTAGAACGAGTTTGGTAATTTGGTATTTTTTTCAATTTGGTAATTTTTTCAACGTAAGTATTTTCTTTTAAGGTTTTAATACTAACTTATTACTTATAAAAATGTCTAACTTTGAACCTTCTTACAATTGCAAAAAACAAAAAATTTAAGAGAGCCAAAAATTGAAAAGGCTCTTTAATGTAACAATTTGCCTTGACAACTTAGAACTTTAAGTATGAATTCACAATATAGCAATTTAAGGAAACCACCAATTTTTCCCAATATGACGGCTCGATCACAGCCCCTACAGTTCCACAAATCAGGGTTTTGGATCATGTTTACCTGCCGGAACCAATGGTGAAAGAAAGTAATTTTACAGGACTAAGAGCGTGTGTGAATCGGTAACAAAGTTCGCGTCGAGTAAATTTTTGACAACTATGAGGTGAATAAAATTTCAGTAGCTTATGAGGCTAGTGAAATTTTTGACAAATGCATAGACAATCGCAAATATTGTTGATGTGTGTAATATTTCGTTAAATAAAAGCTTAAATAGATGAATTGCAATCAACGATGGTAGATGTTTTCTTAAAATATTCATTTCACTTCAATTTGTAATATTTTATTCCAAATAAATCTGCGGTTATCAAAAATTTACTGCTGTCAAAAAATATTTCATTTCACACAGCAGATTGGCAAAACTGTCTCACCATAGTAAAAATATTATTCAACAGCTTTCCCCATAGAACTTTGTTACCGATTCACACACGCCCTAATTAAAATGTTGCGATTAAATACGAATGTGACTCATTTATAAAATTGTAAAAGTAAATCTTATCTATCGCTTAACGATACATTTGCTGGTTTCTTGTTTTAGTTTTAAGTTATGTAAAATACTTTATGTAAAAGATTGTATGTTACAGCCCATTTCCACCAAACGCTTAATTACAGTTAAGAGTTTAGATAATTTTAACAAGAGGTGATCTGCAAGGTTTATTTATTCGTTTTTGTCATTTCCCTTTCATTTACTTGTACTTAATATGAGCAACTACCTCCTTCGAGTTGTAATCTGCTTTTTTCCAATAGGCATAAACTGCAGTGGAAATGAACTATTAAGCACCTTTTAAATGTTTGTAAACCTCTGAGCGATTTTTTTGTTCTATGTTTTAAAAATATTTGTGAATTGTTATAGTCGGAAGAATCCTGCCATAGACGGTCCCAAACCCGGTTTGGTAAAAGAGGAGGGGCGGCACAACGGGCAGCTTGAGGATGACGAGAAGAATTCTCTCGATGAAACCCGTTGTACCCGTTCCCAAACTAAGGTTGGTTGAATGGTGCTGGGAACTGAAACATGGGCATCGCAAGCGCATTTCCTGTGTGATACCGGGCGCCCCCACATCGTAACCAGCCTTACTATCACAAGGGAGCACTGGGGTGGCGGACAGAAACCTTCTTCCCACTTCAAAAAAAAAACGTATGGATGAAATAATTAACGAAAACAAAAACAACATCACGGAGTCAGAGGAACTTTCTTTACTCCGTTCACCCACTACGTCTGAGAATGACCTTGAGTAGAGAATTAATGCCTCACTAAGGTTGAACTCACCTGGTTCTACCTCCATTTATGCGCCAGGTGATCAGGGACTCGAGCCAATCACGGAGGGTGATAGCCAGTGTTGCCAGAACTTTTTGGGCCGACCGGCTAGATTAGCAAAAAAAAGCGGCTAAAAACGGCTAAAATGTTTTAGTGAAAATTCACATGCTTTATTTAAATAAATCGCAAGAAACGAAAGACTAGTTAACACCATTAATTTATATCGAGTGTATATTCTTCATCATTAAATGAATCACTATTGTATATATCACCTGAATTCATTAATTTTAAGAGATCGTCATCTACAGTAAAATTATGGCAGCATTTTTCTTCACGTTTTAAACCGTATCTTATATATAAAATAGCGTTTAACGTTTTAACGCACATTGGATTTCTTTGCTTAGTTTTTATTATATTAATTGAACTAAATATTCGCTCTACTTCTGCATTACTTATAGGCAAAACAAGAAAACTAAAAACTAGGTTGGAAAGGTCAGCAAAAGGGTTTTCTCCTAGGGCATTTCGAAATTGATAAACTTCGGCCCAAAATTTTACAGTTGAGTCTAAATTACTCCAGGTTTGTAACGTTAACCGTTGCCATTGCATCTCTATGGATGTTATTTCGTCGGCATTATATTTGTGTTTTTGTTGCTGTAGTTGAACAAATACTTTTGATTTAATTACTTTTAATGCATTTCCAACCGAAAAAAGTCAATTTTTTTAGTGTGGCAATATTTGTAGGGAGGCGTTGGCGTAATTCCTTTATTAAAGTGATAATAAAATAGCGACCATTTTCTCGAATTATTTTCTCGGCTTCGTGGTCAAAAGCGTTTGTGCTTACTTGTGTTTTTAAATACTCTTCAAAACTGTGATAAAACTGAGGAAATGGAGCAAGGTATGGTTCCAACGGGGAGCATATAGGATCAAATGTGTCCGCGCTAATAACCACTAGGGAGCATAGATGCGAAAGTAAAACATTGAGTTCATTAAAAATCTTCATTGGGTCTGCATTATTGCTTTCGAACAACTTGTTTACTTTTTGCACCTGAAAATTAGGCAAATAGTAAAATCGGCTAAAAACGGCTAACTTTTTTTTACAAACCGGCTAACAAATCGGCTGCCGGCTAGATCGAATTTTCTCCGGCTAGTTGCTATCAAAACCGGCTAAATCTAGCCGGAAAACGGCTAAAATGGCAACGCTGGTGATAGCCAGGATCCCGGCACTTAGGCGTCTACGAACACTAGTGCCGAAGGAACAGAGGAAAACCGGAAGAAGTTCGAGTACTTCACCGGAGGCCAGAAGCGCAGAATACGTGCTTTGATCACGGACGGCATTGAACCTACCAAAACTAAGGAGATGGAGGGAGTGCGCTACAAGAAAGTCAAGGAGCAAAGGGCCAACGACGCGACAAAAGGGGGACCTAGCTCCTCGAAGCGAAGCAGGGCACCAGCTACTCGCCCAGCGGCCTTCGACAGACAGCCAAGAAGGCTAAGGCCTCTCATACAACCACTGCTTCAGTGGAAGCAGTTGCGAATCCGGGCGTTCACGATAATAAACCCGGCATGCCTAAGCAGGTGTCCTACAGAGACATCACGGCGGCATGCAAGGTAGCTATTACGCATGCCAAACACCCGGATACCAAGCTTAGCGAGGAAGAAATCTCGCTGATAAAGAGAAGTCTGCTGGCAGAGATGGACAAAGCCAAAAACTCACCGCGAGTCTTGGATTCATCAGCAGTGTGGTGCGCGACGGTTGGCTTTCGCTCACTTGCCGTAACAAGGAGACAAGAGATTGCTCGTTGCTGTGACAGCTGGCCTAAAGCCGTTCCCAGACGCAGATCTGAAGGTGTCACAAAGCAATGATATTCCCGAGACCTCTATCTGCGTTGCTTACGTGCCACCTGAGGAATTTTACCGGCGGACCATCTCATGAAGCACCTAGCCACGAAAACCGTGGGCATAAACTTTGCGGGCTGCGCTTTCTAAAGTCTCAAGGATGAGAAAGGGAGAGAGACGGTAACTTTCTCCGTGGACGAGAAGTCAAAGGAGAGGATTGCGGCGCAGGGTGGAAGAATCTTCCTCAACTTTGGCCAGATCTCCCTAAGCATAAAGGGGGACGGGGCGACAGCAAGTCACCTAGCGCATAAAGACAGCCAAGGAGCAGCAGCCCAGGCATCTCGCAAGACCCACTGCATGGAAGTCCATGGTGCTCCGTCCCGGGACCGTGCAGCACTGGTTGGGCAAGGCGATAGCGCTGATCAGGCTGGCGTTAGTGGCGAGAGCGCGAAACCCCCCGCAGTTTCCTCTACCCTGGAGGTGTCTCAACCACCAAAGGCAGGCAGAGGCAACACCACCCATGCCCGCTTTACTAAACTGGAGGCGACACGTACACCCAAGGCAGGCAAAGGCAACACTTCCCATGCCCGCCCTACCAACACTGGTAAGGATCCACACTCGACTCGCCGCTTAAATGGGACGAAGCTCCCGAAGTGGATGAGGAAGAGAAACCAGCCGGACGACTCGAAGAACTAATATGGTAATAAGATGTATCCAAATAAACTTACAACATGCAAAGGCGGCTTGAGCGGTCTTGGCACAGACGTTTTATGAGGATCACCTAAACATCGCCTTTATCCAGGAGCCGTGCATATATGGGAACCAGATAGAGGGACTACCAGGTAAGCTATTCTATGACTCCTCCAACGTAGGATGGCCTAATCATATCAACGCCTTTCTTATTCCAGAATTTACCATAAGATCGGACCAGATCGCAGTGAAGGTGAGCCTATCTCTCGGAGAAAACACGCAAGAGCTAGTCATTTGCTCAGCGTACCTCCCCGGCGACTCCAGAGATTACGAGTTTCCGCCACTACAGGGACTAGTGGACTATTGTGGCAGACATAAACTGCAACTCGTCAATATGGGGCAGCAATAACATAAATCAAAAAGGTGAGTACATACTTACTTGAATTTATTA